TGTATTTTATGTATTATTTGACCTATGTATGACACGTTGTCTTAAACATCAATAAATCTATCCATTTTACATATATTTACGTCATCATTGAGATACAGTTTTGCCGTAATTTACAAAATAAAACAAGGTAAAAATTTGTTAACATTCTAAAAGAATTCGTTATAAAAAATCAATTTGAAGACTAAATTCCGTATCCAAAAAATTTAATACTAATTCTGCAAACACCCTGTATTTTTTTATGAAAATTTTTACTTTGACTTTTGTGTAGGTATATAAAAAAGTTATCAATTCAAAACACAATTTCAATATATCTACACATTTTATGCCCACGATATAAAGCAGCTGCCCTTCTTCAAGCAGAAATAAAACTTTAATAGCCTATCTTAACGATAAAATTTTTGATAATGCTTTTGTTTTGTTTCTCTATCCTCTTATTTTCACTGCTTCAATGCCATTTACTAGTGTACTCTCAACAAACATCAAGAGTCAATTAACATTTTTGTGATAAAAGTTACATCGTTTCGTATCAGTGACTTTTCAGAGAATTATACAGGCTGCGCCAGAACTCGCGCCTTAGAGAAAAGTGCAATATAAGATACGATACCAGGAACATAAAAAAAAATGTTAAAAATTCTATCTATAAAAATTTCGAAGTTATGAGAGTTTAAATTTTGCACTTTGACTCTATTTATTTCTGTTGGAAAAATAATTTTCCAAGTTTTTTTGCTACAGGCTAATAGAAGAGGAAACAAGAAGCTGTATCCTAAATTGTAACTCTGTTTAATGTTATTTGGAACTTTTTTGTACATTTATTAAATAATTATAAAAAACATATACAAGATCATCAGTATCATTAAATAGACATACAAAAATGTCAAATGTCAAAATTTTTTGAAGATTTTTGAAGATAGATATATTCATGAAAATTAAAATTTCAATTTTTAGTTAAAAATAAAAAGGTTTCTTAGGATTTTTAAAAATTCCACCCCCAAGGGGGTTAAACAGAGACCACAGTTTGTATTAAAATTTGTCGTTTTTGAAGTTATACCCTTGAAAATTGATATTTGAGCTTTCGGTTGAAAATAGGGCAAATTTTTTGACAGATAGAATTTTGTAAACATTTTTTCATGTTCCTGGTATCTTACTTGAAATTTTTCTCTGGGGCACACCCTGTATATCAATGTCCTTTAACTCAACGACAAATACGTATATTTGTATGCAAAAATCCTCTGCAAGCTCGGAGACTGAATATTTATTGCGTGCGGAAAAAGATCAAAAACTGGCAACTCGTTACTCGTAATATAACGACTTCAAGATAGATAAGTAAAGAAAATTACAGTTTTACCAGTCTTTAACCCGTTCACCTCTCCAATATTTTTTTTTAATTATGGTTGTTAACGATTTTTACCGACCTGAACGTGTCTTAAGTTTCAGCTACCTGATTTCAGTAGAAACTCAAAGCATTTTCTAAATAACATTTCTCATTTACTTATTATTACGGGACTTCTATGGACACATCAAGTTTTTCAAAGCGTGTCTAATAATCCAGTTCGAGCCAATGATTCGATGTAATCATCAATTTATAGCATTCCTAAACAAGGTTGCTATCCATATAACGTCACTGAAGAATAAAGTAGAATTCCACAACAGGATTTTTCACAAAACAATATTGTTGATGTCATTTTTACTCATCCTCATTGAATTTGATTTTTTTTCACATGGAGGCATAAAATAAAGAATGCCTTCCCACTGTGCAAAATATTTTGCTTGAGTATTTGTCGGGAACATAAATTTATTATCCCCGTTCCACTTTCATTCATCTCATGTTACGGTCACCCCAAATGATCTCGAACGAATTTCAAACACGCTTTTTACCTGTCGATCACCTATTTGAGGAAAAAAGAATAAAAAAAAATGCACAAAATAAAAAAAATCTCAATAAAAACTCGAAATATTAACTATTTTGAAATTCTTTACAATATCTTCAAAATGTGAATTGAGACCATAGTACGTTCTATTATTATATTTTTGCTAACATGCACAATAAAATGATATCAATAATCTCTTATCAGAACGTCAGCAATTGTTCTGTATCATATTATAGATTATTAAAGGTACAAAGTCATCAGATTTCGTGATTAAAAAAAACTTCAGCAATCAAGTGCAAAATTAAATTTTATTCTGCGATTTAACTGAAAAATCAGTAGTCAAAATCCGATTCAAAAAATATGTAATGCTGATGACCCAAAATAGAGGAGTACACATACTAACATAAAATGACATAATTTATCAGAATTTTTTTAAACGCTTTTGTAAACAAAAGAATCTTATTTCATGAAATAAAAGTGTTAAATCCTTGTAGACAACAGAGAAAGTTAGTGAAATAATATAGATTTCTTAGTCAAAAATGGGAAAATTTGCCCTTTTGTACTGAAATGACTGAAATCTTGACTCTGGAATTACTTGTATAAAATTTATAAAATTGCTTGGAATTATTTGTGAATTACTGGAATTCTTTTTGGAATTTGGAATTATCGGGGATAATTTCTTTTCAAAATTACGTCGGATTTCTTCGAACTATTAGAATTAATTTGGAATTGTAAGAATTAACTACTAAATTTTTTTTGGAATTATTTGTGAACAAAAAAATGTCAAAAAAGACAATTCGTAAACCTTTTTTTTTTCAAAAATACGTGTAGAATTAGTTATCAGAACGAATTTCCTCTAAATTACCTTTAATTGAGGTCGTTGATTTATCTTTTATGACACCTAAAATCAATCACTTTTG